TTTGGTTTTGGGGGATTTTGCTGTTAAAATCAGAAAACAGTAAGTAAAGTTGGCAGCTACTCAGAGGGAGAAAATGAAAGACTTAGAGGTTTTATTTTAGGAGGTCTGAATCTGATCAGTGAGCATTTCAGAAAGAGAAAATGGAGAAAAACAGGAGGTAAGAAATTACAAAAGAATTTTCCAGAATGGAATTTACTTGATAAGAAACCTTAAGCACACAACACAATGAATGAAAATATATCTACTTCAAAGCATGCAAGGTACCAGTAGTAACTAAAAGATTCTAAAAGATTTCAAAGAGAGGGGAAAATAGGTCATCTGTAAAGGATAAGAATCATAATGATAGCCAGGCACTGTGGCATATGAATATAATCCCAGATCCTTGGGAGGATGAGGTAGGAGGATATATTGAGCCCAGGAGTTCAAGGCCAGCCTGGAAAACATAACCAAACCCATCTCAAAAGAAAAAAAAATAATAATCATAATGATACAATGGTGAAGGGCTGAAAAGCAATGACACCCCAGGGGCAATGAGCACAGTCTCACTGAAATTTTGGTTTCTAAACACCATTCCCTAGTAAAGGGAACCAAAAATTCTTAAAGAGCTGATTCCAAGATCAGGAAATCTCTGAAAAGTGGGCATCTGGAACATCTTATTCTTTCAGAAAGCAAAGAAGTGCTTACAGATTGACAGAGAAATGTCAAAAGGATTGATTGGGAACATATGCTCATCAGAAAGAACGATGAAGCCCTGCCCACACTAGCAGAGATTTGTTCTTAGTGCCATTTCATCTATAAGAATTGTGCCTCTATGGTTCTGTGTGGCACTGTTCAGACCTGCCAATGCAGAAAATAGATCTCAGGGGGAGGAGGGGAGGAGGCAGCCAGAATAACATATACACACGTAAGTAAATGTAAAAACGATAAAATGAAATTTTTTAAAAAAGATCTTAGAGCATCTACTCTAGTCAAATCAAGACAACCCCATTCATTTTCTTGTTATCTTTTTTTATTTTTGTGTTACTGAGGTTTGAACTCGGGGCCTCACACTTACTTAGCAGGCGTTCTACCACTTGAGCCACTCTACCTGCCCTTTTTTTTGTTGGGTATTTTCAAAATGGGGTCACTTGAACTATTTTGCCCAGGCTGTCTTCAAACCCTGATCCTCCCAATCTCTGCCTCCCATGTTGCTAGGATTACAGGTGTGAGCCACCAGCACCTGGCATCATCTTTAATTTTTTTTTTTTTTTTTTTTTTAAGGAAAGGTCTATCTTCTTGAGCAAGAACTGTAAAGACTTTTTCAGCAAACTGGTACCACAGTATTAGTTTTGGACCAGCCTCAGGGAAGTCTGTCACAAGCCCTTTATGACTGCCCATCCTCATAGTTCACCTTGAACTACAAGCACAGGCTCCATGACTCCATGAGGCGATTTCACTGGCTCAGGTTCCACCTTCCTTCCCACCTTCCTCCACAAACCAGTGTACTTGCAGGCACCCTATCACCGGGGTTTTCATTCCATGGCTAGTCCTTTTCCTCCTCAGGCCTGGACACTATCACATGAACAAGGTGGTGACTGGTTTTAGCCTCTTTAACTCTCTATGACAAGACTAAAAGCTTAATTCCTAAATGGAAAAATAATTCAACTCTTGGACTTTGTGGCTAAGTTCTAAATACAATGAATTTCACCAGTATGGTTTTGAAACTTGATTCCAAAATGGTCTAGCTAGCCATTATGTCAGCCCATTGTTTCTCCCATTCAGGGAAAACCAGAAGAATAATTCAGTAGCTCAGTAAATCATATGGAGATATTTACAACAAGCAGTATCCTTTTCCAGTGCCCCTGACTTCTTAGGACACACTCAGATCACAATAAAGATCCAAATGGGCCTCCAATGCTGTTTTTATCCCATATAGATGTAACAGCCTTTGTTCACTTTAGGGAAAGGAAAAGAGGCTGACTGCAGTCCTGGCATGGATATAATTTTTTATCCTCAGAGAGTCTCTCAGTTCCTGTGAGAGAAAATGGCTGAGTCTGCCTTATCTCTGAGAAGAAAATGTGCACATCAGAAAACCACTGGCTTAACTGCTGCCTCCCTGGGAGGCCACCACAGAGAAAACCAGCTTATGTTGGCAGTCATTGGAAAAATAACCCATGTTTGACTCTGTACACATGTATCCATCCAGTCCAGAATGGAGAATGAGGACTGGAAAATGTGGGGGAATGTAAAGAGATGGGGATAAAATGTGTGATGAGAGCGACTCTCTGGTTGTGACTATGAGGCTCCAATATGACTTGACAACCATGCAAATGTGCTGTGCATGTGCAGTATTTGTATGTGTTCTGAGCATATGAGAGGCAAGTGCAGTTGTAGATATATCTCCTCATTATATTCAGCAAGGGCACTTTTGTTTGTGTTGTTTTCTCCAACTTGCTGCACAGTGAAATCAATCTGGGCAGCTTTAGAAATACTGATGCTTGGGCCCCACCCCTGAAGATCCTGATTTACTTGGTATAAAATTTTGTAGTGGACAATGGCTCTGCAAAGATGTCCATGTCCTAGTTCCTGGAACCTGTGAATATGTTAGAATGGAAAGGGGCATCAAGGTTGCAGACGGAATTAAGGCTGCTACTCAGGTGGGCCCAATGTGTCACAAGCACCTTTAAAATCAGATGAGAGAGGCAGCATTAGCAGTAGGAGTGATGTAATACGAGGAGGACTCAACTGGCTTTTTTGGCTTTAAAGATAGAAGAAGGGGCCATGAGCCAAGAAATGTGGGTGGCCTCTAGAAGCTGCAAAGGAAGGAAGTGAATTTGCCTCTAGAACATCCAGAAAGGAAAGTGGCCTTGCCAGTGTCTTAGTTTTTAACCCAGTGAGACCCATGTCAGACATGCGACCCAGCAATACTAATTTTGTATAGTTTTAAGCAGTAATGTTACAGCAGCAATAGAAATCTAAAACAGGTACAGCTGGGGCTTTGGAAGTTTTTAAAGCTCCCCTAGTGGTCCAATATGTAAGTGATTCCAAAGTTTGATAACCACTAAAGGCAAAGACCTGCTGGTGTGATTGCTTATGCTGGGAAAAGGTACAATAATTTTACCTGGGAAAGTAGTAAGCCTCCTACCAAATTATCTTCAATTTTTAACCATCTACCCAGATACAGTGGCCTTTACACACACTTCATAGGATGGGCATGTTTGCCAATCTGGGGCCTTTCTAGTGTGACCAACCCTGAAATAAAGAGCCAGGTAAACAGATACTTTTTTTTTGGCAGTACTGGGGATTGAACTCAAGGCCTCAGGTTGCTAGGCAGGTGCTCTATTGCCTAAGTCACACCCCTCCCCCCATCCTCAACCCCCTCTCTCCTTTTGCTTTTAGTCTTTTTTTTCCAGATAGCAGTTTTGTACAAGACCTCAATCCTCTTACCTCTGCTTCCCAACTAGCTGGGATTATAGGCATGTACTCCTGATCCCATATTTTTCTATAAGCTTAATCAATACTGTCTTTTTAAGGAAGGAACTGACCAATTCTGAATTATATGCAAATGCATACATTGGCCTGTTCATGTTAGCACCATTAGGAAAAGGAACAAACTGTCCTCCTGTCTGTACTGAACTACTGAAAACCACAATTAGGATGGTAAAGATAGAGGGTTTCTCCATTCACTTAGGAATCTACTTGTGAGTGATAGATGATAAACAGATGGAATTTGTTTATTTATGATAGACAAATGGAAGAATACCATGGGAACAAATGAGCTCATTCTTTCTAGGGATCAAGAAAAGAAGAGCCTGTTGTATAGTTTTGGCAAGTGTAGCCCTCCCTGCCTTTGTCCATCACCAGGATTTCCATGCTTGCCCATACATGCTGGCAACTTTTTTCAAAAGGGATTCCATCACTGCACTGTCACCAAAGCTAAAACCTCAGAACCATTTACTTTGTACTTTTCTCTCACTACTTTGTCTTCCTTAGAAAAGCAGCTGTGTAATAGAAAAAAGCAGTCATGTTAGCACCAGAAGACCTGAGTTAGAATTTCAGTCCTGTCTTATAAATGATATGGCATTAGGAGGTTTCTCAGCTGCTCTGAGCTTCATCTCTAAAAAATGAAAAAGGCTGCCTTCATGACATGGTACAGAGATCAATGAAATGATGTAAATGACAGTGCTTAGCACAAAGCAGGGGCTTCTGTCAATACTAGCTTCACTGGAACTCACCTATCTTAAGCCTCACGTGTCACCTGTGTGTTGAGGCTTCTCCCATCTCTTCTCTTTTTCTGGTCCTCTCACTGAGCTCTGGTACTGTATCTCCAACTGTGGACCTCTCACTGGCATTTCTGAGTGAGATGAGTCCATCTAATCTGGACTCAATTCCCCTGGTTGGGTCCATAGTAGTAAAAGCACCATCAGTGCCTTGCACGCATCCTTTCTTTTCCAGGCCAACTGCCACAATGCTGTCCCCTACACTACACAGCTCAAGCTCAAGGGCCTTTCCAGCAGCCTCCATGTCTTAAAGCTCTGTCTTTCCCTATCCAGACTGCTGTGGTTTGCAAGTTAATCTTCCTCAAGCCAGATTTATCACATCAAGCCCTGAACAAACACCTTCAAACATGTTTTTGACCTGCAGCCTGGTATTTGTGCTTGAATAAGAGGAAACTCCACTGGGTATGTAGAAGATCCAAGGCCCACACATCCTTATGTTTGCATAACAGTGCTGAGAAACTTCACATCATTATGACATAAAAGTTCTTGGGATAAATGGATCATAAAACAAAATATCTTAAAAGAATAATTACTGAGAATTAGAATTTTTATCAAATTTTATAATATTTGATAACTACAATCTCAACTGGCCATAAACCGCCTTCAAATGGTGAGGCCACAGCAACTGGCTGGCATGGAGCCACTGTGCATGTTATACAGGACTGAAATCACTGGACAAGTATTTGAGCCTGCAGCATTCAACCAAACAGCAAGTCTGATCAGCCTCAAACTCGCTCTTACCATTCTGCTCATCCAATTCATTCCCAATCTCCTGCCCCATTTGTTTTTGGCGACTTATGATAGAGGAAAGGGCATCAAGGCCTGCGTCCTGTTCTGAAAAAAAAAAAAAAAAGATGAAAACAAATTAATGAAATATCAAAGGAAAACATACCCAAGCATGTAACACAATTCAACAAATGATACAAGAGATAGAAAAGTTAACATTGGAAGAAAAAAATGAAATTCCTACCTCACACATTATGTGATTTCCTTAAATGACATCCAGAAGAATTAAAAATTATAAATATGAAAAATGAAATAATATAAGATTTAGCTACACAAACATTTAAACTTTCTGGTATTTAATGCACAAAAAAAATTATAAATCAGTAACAAAAGGACAATGCCCCAATTTTTTAAAATGGGCAAAGGATATAGACAGGAAATGCACAAAAGAATTTTAAAAGGGAAAATAAAGACATAAAAGCTTTGACACTACAAACTTTTTAAATATAAATTTTAAAAATGAACAATTTGAAAAAGAACAATGATAGCTAAGGCTAACTAAAGTGTGAAGAACTAGAAGTTCCTAAGTAAGTCCAATTTACTGATCTAAGTATCTCTTGAGATCTGATTGTACCCCTTTCAATTTATCAATTCTAAGTCTAAGAATGTATGTAAGAAAACATTCAGAGCAGGGCCTGGGGGTACCTGACTGTAATACCAGCTACTTGGGAGGTAGAAGTAGAAGCATCATAGTCCTAGACTGGGCCAGAAAAAAGAACATGGCCCTATCGAAAAGCAAATGAACTGGAGGCCTGTCTCAAATAGCAGAACATTTGCCTAGCAAGCACAAGGCCTTAAGTTCTACCATCAGTACTGCAAAAAAAATTTTGTTAAAAAAAGAAGAAAAGAAAGAAAGGAAACATTCAGATAGTATGCAGTAATGATGTATTTACAAAGATCTTCCCTGAAAGCTTTCTTTCTTGTGCTGGATGTTATCTGCCTCTCTGCTCCAAATTTAGCTTTTCTGACTACTCTGAAAATGTATCTGGATCCTAAAATACTTTTCCTTTGCCAGGATTTTTGCTTTCTGTCTCCAGCCCTTACCCCTCCTTGCTTTATTTCCTACCCTCCCCCTTCCTGAGTTCCAGTACCACCTATACTTTATATATCTGTATATGTGTGTGTATACATCTACTTATAGTTTTTCTAAGTCCTTTTGAGGAATTAAACCATTGCACTTAGCTCTTTGATTCATCTGGAATTTATTTAAATAAAGGTGTGAGGTTAAAACCCCTTTTTTTGACACTATGTACTTTTTAAAACTATAAATGACTTGCTGTCTCTAGGGACTATCCAAGAGACCATTTTATAGCAAAATCACTTTATAATGAGGTCCTTTCGGCCTTTGGTAACAACCTCCTGGATGGCCTCCAAGATAAATCTATCATCAACCAGCACTGCTAAAGGATATCAAATGCTATAGAAAATTCTATATGCATCCAAAGACTAATCTATACATGGGACTGAAGGTCAGTGTCAGTGGGAACAAAAAGGTAAAATAATTTCAAAAGAGAAAAGGAGCTTCCTCTAGGGATTTCATTTAGGAAAAGAATCACTGGAAGAAGCATGGAGATTCCAAGATGGCAGCTAGAGGGAGGAAGCAGAAAGCGTGCTTCCTAAAGTAAAATCTTGGAGAGACACTGGAGATACACCTTGCAGGAAAAACCACCAAGAAGAGGCCAAACTCTGACTCCTCCATGCCCCCAGCCCATGCATCGCAACCCCACTCCACCAGAAGAGCTCTCGCGCCACCAGACACCAGCTCCCAGACTGCTTGGGAAGACGCAGACCACCAGGTGAGCTAAGCGGCATGCAGTACTCCCACAGACAACCCGGGGCCAGATCAGCATAGCCCCCGGACAGACTGACCCCCACCCAGGGGGAATAAAAAAAGAGAAAAAAACAAACTGAATAATAAACAAGCAGCTGAAAAAAAAAAAAAAAAGACATGTAGCAAAGAGGGCAGGGCACCCCGAGCCCCAGAGAGTGCGGGAGGGGCAATCCCTCATGCGAACTGTAAATAAACGAGTGGGCTGGAGAAGGCAGGAGTGGCGCCACCTCCCCCGGGTTTGCTTGGAGAAGGGAAAGGCTTGTAACAGTGGCTGTCATGTGGAAACCTCCACCAGAGAGTGGGGAGGGCCACTCCCCACGTGAACTATATAAAAAAAAAGACGACAATTGCAAAAGGTGGGTAGAGCTGTATACTGAAGAAAACAAAAGGGACGTGCGTCCAGAAGAACTCTAAAGAAACAAAGCCTGAAGCAGCAGATGGCTGACAGTAGGAGGCAGGTGAGCTGCAGCCTCAGATAGACATTCACAAAGCTGTCTCCAGACTCCCCCCTTATTTTTTTCTCTTCCTTTGATAAGACAACAACACCGGATGCTGAAGGACTAACTGAAACTGTATTGCATTTGAGCTAGGGATATTTCTTTGTTTGTTTGGTTTTGGTTTTTTTCCCCTTTGATGAGAAAATGACAGAACTACTTCACAGACACTGAGAAATCTTCAGGACTGGAGGCTGAAGGACTAACACCAAAATTATTAAGACTGAAACTTTATTGCATTTGAACTTGTGGGTTTTTTGTCTTTTTTATTTATTTATTTATTATTTTCATTATCCTCTCTCTGTCCCTCTAATGCCTGTTTAGCTTACTGTTGATTAGTACACTATCTCTCCCTGTTTATTTCTTTGGCTCTGTTGTTTTTGTTTGTTTGGTTGGTTGGGGTTTTTTTGTTTGTTTGTTTTGTTTTTGTCCCTTTTTCTTTACCTTCTTTGCTTTCCCTCTCCTCTCACCCTTCCTTTCTAGATATCACCATTGTTATTATTACAAGCTAGACAATACTGAATTACACGCAGTATAGGAACAGTAACAATAGCAATGGCAATGATGGGAAGACGGAAAAAAGAGGGAAATCATTTTCCCCCCTATAATAAATTAGTACAGGAACCAGAAAGAAATGAAGAAATCAGATACCCAGATCCAGACTCCAACAAAACGAAGATAAACTATGCCAAAGAACCCAATGAAGCCTACAAGAACATCCTAAAAGAAGAAATCCTGCAAGTAATCAATGAGAATTTTATAGAGATGATACTGGATATGGTCAACAAAAATGTACAGGAGACACTCAAGAAATTCCAAGACAACAAAAACAGAGAATTTGAGAAAGCACAAGAACAAATAAAAGAAACCATAGACACACTATATAAACACCAAAGCGAAACAAAGAACACGATAAATAAAGAGATAAATGAACTCAGGATGAAAATAGACAATATTAAAGAGGAAGAGACTCAGGATATGGAAAACCTCAGAAAAAAGAATGAAACAAATGCAAAACAAAATGGAAGGCCAATCCAGCAGACTAGAACAAGCAGAAGACAGAATCTCAGAACTAAAAGATGAAATGGTAATTAAAGGAAAAACCGAAGAACTATTAGTTCAACAACTCAAGACCTGTGAAAAGAAAATGCAAAAACTTACTGACACCATCAAAAGACCAAACCTGAGAATCATGGGCATTGAAGAAGGAGAAGAGGTGCAAGAAAAAGGAATGCGTAACATATTCAACAAAATAATTACAGAAAATTTCCCAAATCTAAAGAAAACTATGCCTATACAGGTACAGGAAACCTTCAGAACTGCAAACAGACCTGACCAAAATAGAACTACCCCACAACATATTATCATTAAAACAAGTACAGAGACTAGAAAAAGAATATTGAAGGCTGTAAGAGGGAAAAAACTAATAACATACAAAGGTAAACCCATCAAAATCACAGCAGAATTCTCAACAGAAACATTAAAAGCAAGAAGAGCTTGGGGTGAGATCGTCTGGGCACTGAATGAAAATAACTTCAACCCTAGGATACTCTACCCAGCAAAACTATCATTCAAAATAGATGGAGCAATAAAAGTCTTCCATGATAAGCAGAAACTAAAACAATATATGACCACAAAGCAACCACTACAAAAGATTCTTCAAGGGATTTTTCACACAGAAAGTGAAACCCAACATAACCATGAAAGGGCAGGCAGTACCAAACTACAGGAAAAGAAAAAGCAAGAAAGTAGAGACTAACATAAATTTAGCTACACACAATCAAAGAATCAAACAACTAAGACAACTAAATGACAGGAATCACCACATGCCTGTCAATACTAACACTTAATGTTAACAGACTTAATTCCCCCATCAAAAGTCACCATTTGACAAAATGGATTAAAAAGGAAGATCCAACAATTTGTTGCTTACAGGAGACCCAGAAATAAGCATAGGCTTAGGATGAAAGGCTGGAAGAAAATTTAACAAGCCAATGGCCCCCGAAAATAGGCAAGAAAAGCAATACTGATCTCTAACAAAGTAGACTTCAAACCTACATCAATCATTGAGGTAAAGAAAGGCATTCCATACTAATAAAAGGGGAAATAGACCAAAAGGAAATAACAATTATCAACCTATATACACCCAATGTCAACACACCCAATTTCATCAAACATACTCTGAAGGACCTAAAAGCATATATTAACTCCAACACAGTGGTTGTGGGAGACTTTAACACCACATTATCATCAATAGATAGGTCATCCAAACAAAAAATCAATAAAGAAATCCTAGATCTAAAACATACCATAGCTCAAATGGACCTAGTTAATGTCTACAGAACATTTCATCCAACTTCTACACAATATACATTCTTCTCAGCAGCCCATGGAACCTTCTCCAAAATAGATCATATCCTAGGGCACAAAGCAAGCCTCAGCAAATATAAGAAAATAGAAATTATACCATGCATTCTATCTGATCACAATGCAATAAAACTAGAACTCAACAACAAAAATAAAGACAAAAACATGCAAACAGCTGGAAACTGAATAACTCATTGCTTAATGAACAATGGGTCATTGATGAAATAAAAGAGGAAATTAAAAAGTTCCTGGAAGTCAATGAAAATGAAAACACAGCCTACCAGAACCTATGGGACACAGCAAAGGCAGTCCTGAGAGGAAAGTTTATAGCCATGAGTGCGTATATTGAAAAGACT